ATTTTTAAAAAATTTTGTACATAATTGAAATTTTGCGAAGAATTGTATAAATAATTGAATTTCCGCAATTAATTTGTAACTTTTTCAAAATTCAATTTTTTCCTTTTGCTTATAATTTTAACTAAAATTCTTATAATATTAATTAATTTAATTTAGAATTTAGAATTTATTCGTGAAATTAAAGTTTCAAAAAAATTTATTTTTATTTCTGAAAAATTTATTTTTTTCAAAATATTTCAATTATTCTATTGTTTTAGATAATTGAACTATAAATAAAAGTAATTGAAAATGTTTGAAATAATTGAAATTTTCTGAAATTCTATTAAAAATAATGAATTGAATCTTTTTGAATTTTTTTTTTTTATTTAAAGAAATCAGGAAAAATGTCAAAATTCTGTTTGGAAATAATCAAAAAGTCAGAAATAGGCAAAAGGAAGTTTTTATGGCAGCACAGATTAAACAATTAAATGTAAATTTTAAGTATATAATATAACAGTTGAAAAAAAAGAATGGAAACTATTTTTGAAGAAATAATTGTTAATCATAAACTGATTCTTAAAAAAATAATAAAATTTATTAATTCAAAAAAGTTATGAAACATTACAGATATAAATAAATATTATAAGTAAATATAAATATTGTAAATGTAAAAATATGATTTACAATTAAGTAATTTATGGTAATTTATAGAGTAAAAAATAATTAATAAAAAATTAATAAATAATAATAATTAATAAATAATATTAATAAATAATACAAACAAATCGAAAATAAATTTCTTGAAACTTTACACGCGTATTTTTTATTTCTCCAAACGTTGGCTTGTATTCCTGCTAATGCAATACAAACAGAGAAAATTCATCTCAAAAATAAAGTCGATGCACTTCACTTGAGAATGAGAAGGAGTTAAAGAACCTTTCAAAAACGATCAGACAGGAAGCAATATGTCCGACCACTTTTCTAAATATCACCTTCAAAGACCTCTTTCCGGTTTTCGATTGAAAGTAATTAAAATTTATTTTAAACTCTCCTGCTGCTTCCAAAAATTCATTCCTATCGAGACCATTTGCTCGACTTCCATCAAAATTTATTTATTATCACACTCTGTCAATAAAAAATTTTTATTTTTCATTTTTTACAACTTCCTAATATATTGAAAATTTATTTTCAATATAAAAAAAAATTTTAATTTTCTCCCCTAGGAAATACAAAAAATAAAGAAATGATTTACGAGCAATAATAGAAAGTCTCTTATAGAAAGATCACAGAAAAGAATATTTTTATTTTCCAATAGAAATATTTCTCTCCTTCAGTTCTTTATGATTTTTGATTTTTTTAAATTTGAAATTTATATTTTCACTTTAACTAATTTTATAGATATTTTAACTTTTTAACATATTAACAACATTTGTCATTTAAATTAATGATCTTGCGAATGACAGCAAAAAATAATAATAGAATATTAATAATAATAATAAGTATAAAAATCCATATTTTGTAAAATTTATTTTTAATTAAAGAAATAAATGAAAATTATTTTATTATATTTATTTCCATTACATTTATAATAATTTATAATTAATAACAGATTTTTGTAAATAAATAAATAAATTTGTGACGAATTTTCAAATAAAAATGATTATCCAGTAATTCCTGAAGATTATTATTTATTAGGATATTTAATTATTTTTTTAAAAGTAAATAAAAAATCATTTATAAAATAAAACACTGAATAGATATTAATAATAAATAAATAATAAAAAAATGAATAAATAATAATAAATAAAATAAATAGGTACATAGGTAATAAAAAGTAATAAAAAATAAAAGAAGTTGGAAGTAAACGAAGAAGAAAAATTATTTTCGAGAAATAATATTGTTTGTAATTGTTTTTAGAAAAGAAAATGAGATTAATTAGGAGGAAAGTAGTGACGACAACGACGACACCGACGACGACCTAAAATTATGAAGGAAGTCAGTTTGCTTCCTCTTTTTGTCTCTTTCAAAAATAGCCCCTACTCTTGATCCCCTTTAAATGTGTCTGTGTAAATATGGGAGTATTAAGTCTATAGTTGAAAATAGAATGACAAACTTCATTTAAATTTCTATAGTTTTTTATTTACCTTCTACAATAGGTTAATTTACTGTCATTTCTATTATTTTTTATAGCGTAAAGCAGAAATATGCCAATATAGTTTAAATTTATAATTTATATATTCATTTTTATTTCTCAATAACAATATTGTTCACAAAGTCACAAAAAAAACATTACATATTCCCGTTTCTCATTATTTTTGTAGAAAATTCCCAATTTTTATAAAGAAATAATTTCTATTTATTCTTAATTATAATTGTTTTAATAAAATTCAAAGTTTTTTAAAAATAAAGAAAAAAAGTGTTTATAAACTATATTTGTCAATTAGAATATTTAATTGAAAATGAAACTGAAAATTTTTGAATTTTTAGAAAATAAAGGAAAAAATACTCAAAAAATTGTTTTGTTACATTTATTTACGAATTTCTTTAATATTGTAAAATTATTCGAAAACATCAATAACTTCTTTTTTAAATAAATATTTTATTATTATTATTTTTTTTCAATAGGAATTAAGATTTTCAAAAATTTTTAATTCAAACCTTTTTGAAATTAAACAAATTATAAAAAAATGGTTATAAAACATGAAAAATCGATCGATCATATTTTTATGTTTTATAATAATAATTAAATACGACCGAGTGATATAAAATCATTATTTTATAGGTATTATAAGAATATTGTTACTAAAACTTTTTAAAAAATTATTTTCATCATTTCAATTCAATTATTATTTTCTAGAATTTTTAACTGAAATTCTTTTCTAAATAAAGTGTTTTTAATAATTTTTGAAAAAGTTCTTTGACAATTTTCAAATTCAAATAATTTTTCAAAAATTCAATTAAAACTTTTTCAACAAAATTAATTCTAGAGAATTGTCAGTTAAATATATGAAAAATTCCAATTTCCAAATATTTTAACATGAAACTTTTTCAAAATTCAATTATTTCTAAAATTGCACGCTACAATGATTTTAATATTCAATTACTATCTAAAATTTTAACTAAAATTAATTTTTTAATCAGTTTTTATTAGAAAATTCTTCGAGAATTCAATTATTTAAATTCAAAAGTAAATAAATTATGGAATAATTGAATGGTTCTTAAAATTTAAATCTTATAAAGAATTTTATCAGCAAATTTTGAACTAATTGAATTCTTTTGACGAATTTTAAAAAATAATTTCATATTTCCAGGAATTCTATTAAAATTTTATTATAAAGAATTGAAATTTTGCGATAAATTTAAATTATTTATGAAAATAATTGAATTCCTGAAAAAAAATTTTATTTATGAAAATAATTGAATACCTGTAAATAATTTTATTATTTAAGAAAATAGTTGTATAGTGCAAAGAAATTCATAAAAAAAATTTTAATAATTGAATTTCTGTGAAATTTTTATTATTTTTGAAAATTATTGAATTTTTAAGAATTTTTTCAAAAAAATTTTTTTATGAAAGTAATTGAATTTTTAATAACAATTTTATTAAAATTCTTTTAAATAATTGAATTCATGAGAAGAATTTTATTATTCATATGTGAAGAATAGAATTTTTGCGAAGAATTTTATTAAAACTTTTTTAATTAATTGAATTCTTAAGAAAGAATGTTATTATTTATGAACATAATTGAATTTTTACGATGATTTCTACTAAAATTCTTTAAAATAATAGAATTTTCTTGAAAAATTGTATTATTTTTTTTTAAAATAATTGAATTTTTGAAACGAGTTTTATTAAAATTTTTGAAAATAATTAAATTCTTGCAATAAATTTTACTAATTTACAAAAAATTGAATTTATGTAAAGAATGTTAGTAAAATTCTTTTAAAAAATTGAATTTCCTTGAAAAATTGTATTATTTGTGAAAATAATTAAATTCGTGAGAAGACTTTTATAATTTATGAGAATAATTAAATTTTCGTTAAGAATTTTATTAAATTTATTTTAAATAATGGAATTACTTTGACAAATTTTATTAAAATAATTGAATTGAATTGAATTCCTGAGAAGAATTTTATTATTTATGAAAATAATTGAACTTTTGCAAAGATTTTTATTAAAATTCTTTTAAATAATTTATTTCCCTTGAAAAATTGTATTATTTGTGATTCGTTTAAATAATTGAATTGCCTTGGAAAATTGTATTACTCGTGAAAATAATTGAAATTTTGCCAAGAAATTTATTAAAATTTTTGGTAAAATAATTGAATTTCGGAAAAGAATTTTATTATTTATAAAGATAATTGGTATTTTGACGAGAATAAAAAAAAATGTTGAACATATATAATTGAATTTTGTGAGAAGAATTATTTTATTGCTATTCAAAATATAATTGAATTTCTGTAATCATTTTTTGTAATTTTTCTAATATTGAAAAATTTAACTAATTTTGGAAGAGTTGGAATTATTAAAATTTATCAAAAATCTAAGTTGTTTAAAATTTCTAATTAAATTATAAAAGAAGTTAAATCTAAGAAAAAAAAGAAAAAAGAAAAAAAAGAAAAAAAAGAAAAATAAGAAAAATAAGTAAGAAATAGAAAAAACTGAAGTTTTGTATTAGAATTCATGGTAATTTCATATTTTATGAGGCAAACAAAAAAACACCAAAATTTATAATTTTCTTATGAATTCCAGAAATTAAATTTTTAATAATTAATTAATATTAATAGTAATAATTAATTAATATTATTAGTAATAATTAATTAATATCAATAGTAATAATTAATTAATATTAATATTACTATTAATTAATTTATTTATTTATTTAAAGAAATATATGAAACAATTGAATCAGTAAATCTCACTAACTGAATAATAATAAAAACCTGAATTTTTCTGCGAAAAAAAATTATTTCCACTTTAGAGCAAAAGTACCGAAAATTTGATGCAAATTTTCCAATACCTGAATAATATTACGAGTCGAATCTGTCTTCATATCATCGCAAGAGCCTCTGATTGATCTTGGAGCCTTGATGCAGGCCATGGTTGCGACTCGAACTGTCCACGTGGATCAGTGAAACAATCTAAATTCAACACAAACTTCATCCGAGGAAACAATTCCACCCGTCACTGTTGCCAATTTTTTTTTCTTCTTTCTTTTTTTCTCTCTTTCTCTTTTTGTCAGTTTTACCAAATATTTTCACGTCACTGTATTTTATGGTAAATAATAACAAAATTTACCATTATTTTTTTATTTATTTCTTTTATTTATTTCTTTTTTTTTATAATAATGTATTTTATGGTAAAATAAAAACAAAATTGACACTTTTTTTTATTCATATAGTCAGCACTTCTTTATTTTTAATAAAGAAACTGCGATTAAGAAAACTTTTTTAAAAAAAAAATGTCGTTTTAAAAAATGAAAATTCGCTCATCACTTGATCACGACTTGCCTATAGATAACATATAGACAAGGGATGCAAGATTTTTATCACAACCACAATATAAGTCTCGCGTGCCACACGAAGTCTCCTTTCACTTGTAAAAATATTTGTCAATAAATTTTAATCTTCCGACACTTCTTGTTCTTGATCCGTTCGCTATATTTGTTCCCATTAAAATTAGTCATTGTTCTCTTAGTCTTTTTTCCTCCTTAATTTATTTTTAGTCACTCTTTTTATGTTTGAATTTATTTATTATTTTTGTTTTCTTGTTTCTTTCCTAAAAAATATAATTTATGTTATTTAAATTTATTTCACTATCACTCATTATTTATATTTATTATTTTTTCACTTCTTTTATTTTTTCATTTACTATTTTATATAAATAATATTATACACTTTTATTTATAAATAAATATTATTATAAATATTATTATATAAATATTTATTCGCCTGTCTTTTAAAAATAAAAATTTTTAAAATTAAAAAATGTTTTAAAACATTAAATTATTATTAATAATTTTGTATAAATTATTATTATTTATTGCACATTAATAAATATAAGTTTTTTTTATGTATTCATGAAACGAATGATATTTAAATTTGATTTTTACTTTATTTTCTATTTTCTAAAGAAACGAATGTTTTCCTCTTTTCTTTCCAAAAAGGAATATTCGATTCACAATGGAATAAATTTTTATTCCTTATTTTTGTATTTTTAAATTTTTTTCTCAAAATTTTTTCTAAAAAAAAAACTACGTCTACGTTTTCATAAATATTTCGTTTCGGTAAATATATAAAAATTCTATATGCGAGTCAAAATTTAGTTTACTACAAATGCAATTCAATATTTCAATATAGAAGTAGAATTAAATTTACAGATTGCGACTCTCAATTTTGAAACGAATGCCATCACAACTGATGTCGATATCAAAGTATTTAATCTTCAATCCTTTTTGTCTCTTGAAAATAAATTATTATTTGTCGAGAACAAGATTTATAGAATTGATTCGAGGACAAGTGGGTCAACCGGTAGAAAATCAACTCCTAATATAAAAATTTAATTTCCAACAAGTAATTACAATAATAATAATCATCATAATTAATCTTCTGTTTGTTCTTTCAATCACTTTATGCAAAATCGATTTTAAAAAATTTATGCCTCAAAAGTTTTGAACTTTCCAATTTCGAATTTTCAAAAAGAATTTTTTTCCAAATTCAAATTTTACTATAAATAATGTGATACTTATTAACAAAATAAAATACAGTTTCAAATTGTTTAATATACTTTTTCGATTTTTTTTATTTTTATTTACATATTTATTTTTTTTATTTTTATAGTAATTTTTCAGAATAAAAATATTGAAAAAAATATTTTGTTCATTTGAACGTTTTCTGAAGTTTTGATAAATGAAAAATTAAAAATTTTGGAACTGAAGCTTAATTAAGTAATTAAATTAAAATTATTAAAAATAAACTTTTAAATACATTAAAATTAAAAAAAAAAAAAAAACGAAATTAAACATTTTGAAAATTTCTTTATTATTTTTAAATAAGTGAATACCGAGGTGAATACAATATTATTATAATAAAATTGTAGTTAAAAAAACAAATAAAGTTCGTTCATTAAATTTCAACGTTCAAAACTTTAGCGAAATTATTTGTTAATTAATATGGATATTATTTTTTAAATAAAAAAAATTATTTGATTATTAAAGACGATTGAGGGACAAATTCATTATTCTTACTAAAATTATTGTAAATTGGAGTTATTTATTAATTTACTTTTTACTTATTTGTTTAATAAAATAAAAAAATATTGTAAACAATAATATTTTTTTTGAGTTTTTTTTTTATTTGAGTTATTTATTAATTTACTTTTTTATTTATTTGTTAAATAAAATTTAAAATCGTTGTAAACAATAATAATTATATTATTATTATTAAAAAATAATAAGTTAATAATAAAATTTTATTATTGTTATTAAAATTATAATTATTAATATGCTGATTAATAGTTGTATTAAAAAGCCATTGATTATTAAAAATGATCGAGTGATAAAGTAAATATTTTCATCAAAATTATTAAAAAATTTATTTATTTACCTAATAATTTATTTTTTTATTTATTTTTTAAATAATTTTTAAAAAATATTGTAAACAATAATTATATTAATATTATATTAATAAATTAATAATGATTTATTAATAATAATATTCAATATTATTAATATTAACTTATTAATATTATTATAATAATTATTGATTATTATTATTATTATATATTAATGAATTATTATTATTAATATTAAATCAATTGAATCCAAATATAAATCTCAAATTCTTGAGGAAAAAATTATCTCCCGTTAAAGAATTAAATAAATAAAATTAAAATTCTAGTTAAAAATTAATGGGCATATTAATTTTTAAACAATTTTAAAAAAATGTTATTAAAAAAATGTTATTTTTTACCACTTTTTTAGTAATGAAATATTTACAATAAATTAATTTCGTGTTAGTAAAAAATTCTTGTCCTCGAAGTGAAATAATTTGAAATGATAAAAAACAATATTTAATATTTAAATGAAGACACAAATTAATTTTATTGATGGACATAAAATGAAATTAATTTCTTTGAATGTCAACTGCAATTTCATTCACCCTTAAAAGATCTCACGACACAAGATAGTTGAATGATCGAGTTTGTTCAATCATTCAATTATTCCAATATATTAACAATCACTCTCTCTCTCACTCTCACTCTCTCTCTCGTCACTATGTGAAGATGATCGAGGGTTCGAGATGGGAATTTTGATATTGTTCTCGCGACACTTGTTCGTGATTGAGACGTTGATTTGTGTTTGGGATCATATAAGTAGTGAGAGAAACACAACATTGACACGCGACGATGCGTTTCACGATTCAGCTGTATTTTTACACTGAATAATATGTTGTGAGGCGTCTCGACGACTCGACGCACCGGACGTAACTGAATCCGCGGTTCTTGTCTTCCTACGAATAGGTACTTTCCAACGCATGATGTACGTGACTATCGTTCTATCTCTCATTTACGCGACACATTTATAATGCTCTCTTATTCTCGTGGTGCATAAGAAGAAAGAGAGGAGTTACTGAAAATTACGACAAATAATCTTTCTCTCACTCTCTCTCTTTCTCTCTTTCTAAATTCAAAATTAGAGCAAAGTGTAATATTATCATTCTTGTTTTCTATTATTTTTTTTCTTCGATTTTTCATTTTTCAAAATAAATAAATTTAGGTGTTTATGAGTTTTATAACTCATCTAAAAACTTATAAGATTATGAGTTTCATAACTCGTAGATAACTTAAAGTTTCATAATATATATAAAACTTATGAGTTTCATAACTCATAAATAACATATGAGTTTGTAAGTTTTTCAAATCATAGATTACTTATGAGTTCATAAGTCTTATAACTCATAGGTAACTTATGAGATTATGAGTTTCATAACTCATGAATTTCATAATTCTTATATAACTTATGAAGTTCATAACTCATAAATAACATGAGTTTATAAGTATTATAAATCCTAGATTACTTATAAGTTTATAAGTTTCATAACTCATAGATAACTCACGAGTTTTATAACTCATAGATAAGTCACGAGTTTTATAACTCATAGATAACTCATGAGTTTTATAACTCTTATACAACTCATGCGTTTCATAACTCTTATATAACTTATGAGTTTCATAACTCATAAATAATATGAGTTTATAAGTTATATAAATCCTAGATTACTTATGAGTTTATAAGTTCCATAACTCACAGATAACTTATGAGTTTCATAACTCATAAATAACATATGCGTTTATAAGTTTTATACATCATAGATTACTTATGAGTTTATAGGTTTTATAACTCATAGGTAACTTATGAGTTTAAGCTTCTATAACTCATAGACAACTAATAAGTTTACGAATTACACACTATTTATCCGTTATATGAGATAATAAATATTTATGAGTTATGAACATTTCTATGAATTCATCAGTTTCATAAGATTTAGAAATTATATGAGTAATTTTATGAGTTTATATTTATAACTGTAAAAAATGATAAATTGGAACTGATTTAATTTCAGGAGTAAATTTTTTTGAATTTATGAGGTTCTATGAGTTAATGAGCTTTTAGAATTAAATATAAACGAGATGTTATGAGTTCTTAATTTTATTACTTTATCAAATTTTAAGAGAATATGAAAATTTATAAATATACTCAATTTCATGAGTTTATTAAATTTTATGAGTTTCGAGTATTTAGAAGTTACCAGTGTTTTCTGAGAGTTCATTTTCTGAGAGTTTAATAGATTTTATAAATTACTGATATTTTTATTAGTGAGATTTAAGAGTCTTTAATTTTATAAATAAATAAAATTTCAAGAGTTTATGACATTTTATGAGTTATGAGTATTTATGAGTTTACAGTATTTCTAAGAGCTTATTAGTTGTTTGATTCATGAACAATATGATATAAGATTTATAAGTTATATGAGTAATTTTATGCATTTATGAGGTTCTATCAGTGAATGAGTTTTTACTATGTTATATGAAATAGATTTGTTTTAAAAAACTCATAAAACTCCTTCTTTAATGACTTTTTAATTTCAAAAGTTTATTATTCGAGAACTTATGACATTATTAAAATATATCAAAGTTTATGAGTTATTTTATGAAATTTCATAAGTTACAAGTTTTTATGAGTTATTAGTATTTCTAAGAGTGAGTTTTTAATTTTCAAAATCTATTTTTTAAAAACGTATAAAAATTTTTAGATATATAAAATTTTA